CTGTCAGTGTGGGAGGACAGCAGGAGCTCAGAGAACATTTCATCACAAGTGCGTTTTTTTCGCCTTCTAATCTTCACTAGCCTCTGGGAAGGAGAAGATCCTGTGATTCTTGAAACACATGCAGCTGGTGGAGAAAAAAAGGGGACAGTGATATTTAAAAAGACATTTTCTAGAACAATGGCTACACTCTTTCAAGGTAAATCTTGCTATTAGCATTACATACACAGCACATGTGTTTTCATTCCAAGGTCGCATTTTGTCTCCCCCCACCACGTGGCTAGCCACTCACCCCTCCCCGTGGCTAACAGCGGGGAACATTTCTGTTCAGCCATAGGCAAACAGCCCAGCAGGAACGGGCACCTCTGAATGTCCTCTTAAGAAAAGCACCGTATTTCAGCCAGGTGACCATGAATGATATCACTCTCCTGAGGATAACACAGAGAGATAAAGAACGGATGTTTGCCAGCAAACATACACTGCAATGCCTTGTTCTACAATGATTCCCGAGTATGTGCTACTGGCCTGGAGTGGTAAAGTGTCCTACCGTGGTGGATGAAATAAGGCTGCCCTCCCCAGAAACCTTTTGCAAAGGCTTTGGGAGTACATCCAGGAGAGCCGCAAATGCCAGGGCAAATTAATCATTAACCATGCTTGCTTTTAAACCATGTATAGTATTTTAAAAGGTACACTCACCAGAGGTCCCTTCTCTGCCTGGCGGGTACAGGAGGCAGCCTTGGGTGGGTTTGGGGGGTACTGGCTCCAGGTCCAGGGTGAGAAACAGTTCCTGGCTGTCGCGAAAACCGGTTTCTCCGCTTGCTTGCTGTAAGTTATGTACGACTTCATCATCATCATCATCTTCCTCATCCCCAAAACCTGCTTCTGTGTTGCCTCCATCTCCATTGAAGGAGTCAAACAACACAGCTGGGGTAGTGGTGGCTGAACCCCCTAAAATGGCATGCAGCTCATCATAGAAGCGGCATGTTTGGGGCTCTGACCCGGAGCGGCCGTTTGCCTCTTGGTTTTCTGGTAGGCCTGCCTCAGCTCCTTAAGTTTCACGCAGCATTGCTTCAGGTCCCTGTTATGGCCTCTGTCCTTCATGCCCTGGGAGATTTTGACAAATGTTTTGGCATTTCGAAAACTGGAACGGAGTTCTGATAGCACGGATTCCTCTCCCCATACAGCAATCAGATCCCGTACCTCCCATTCGGTCCATGCTGGAGCTCTTTTGCAATTCTGGGACTCCATCATGGTCACCTCTGCTGATGAGCTCTGGCCAGTGTGGCAAGCTGCAGGTGACCATGCCAACAGGAAACTGAAATTCAAAAGTTTGCGGGCCTTTTCCTGTCTACCTGGCCAGTGCATCTGAGTTGAGAGTGCTGTCCAGAGCGGTCACAATAGAGCACTCTGGGATAGCTCCCGGAAGCCAATACCGTCGAATTGTGTCCACAGTACCCCAAATTCGACCCGGCAAGGCCAATTTAAGCACTAATCCACTTGTCAGGGGTGGAGTAAGGAAATCAATTTTAAGGGCCCTTTAAGTCAAAAAAAAGGGCTTCATTGTGTGGACGGGTGCATGTTTACATCCATTTAACGCTGCTCAATTCGACCTAAACTCCTAGTGTAGACCAGGGCTATGTGTAGAGGATCCTCATAGGTAGATTAATCACTGCACATCCAGAAGCTACTGGAACTGGGTGTGGTAGTTTTGGGTCTGCTGCAGTAGGTTCCCTGTTGCTGGGGTCAGACTCCATAAAGGCAAGCAGTCTGGGCAGCTAGTGAGGAGCTGAGCCCAGAAGCAGAAAGCAGACTGTTGTCCCTAACTCTGAAGTATTTTGCAGCAGGGTTTTCTTTAACCAATCACTCAGTTAAGTGTATAGATTTAATCAGTTAGCTAACTGGCTAGTAGTGATTTCAGCGGAGGAAGTGTCTGCATGGATTCCAACTGAAGATTCCCACAAGCAAGTGGAAGGAAGATGTTATTTTAGACTCAACAGACTATAGATTTGATGATCAAAGATGGAGATTTAGGTGAACAAAACCTAAGCTTTTGGGAACTCTTTCTTCTCACTGTGTTTCTATGGGGAGTGAACTTTTCAGATCTTGTTTTCTTTATTTATGTTTCTGTATAACTGAAGGTAATGGCTGTGGATTATAAAACAGCCATGTCATTCTGTAAACATTAGATTTGTTTCTTTATCAGAAGATTTTATAAAGTTATTTAATTAAATTCATTTCTTTAGTTCCTTTTGGAACTTGAATGTGGGGAGGTTGACCCAGTGCAATTCCTGCTGAAAATCCTTGGAGACTGAACTTTAGGTCTCCAGCTATTTTCTGTGGAAGTTGGGTTTTTTTTAAAAGACACTAGAGAAGGGCTATAAAGTGAATGCTAGCCCACCCGAAGATTACACCTGCACAGACTACTACAATCAGTACAAAAAGCTATGTAACACTTCAGTTTAATGGCAATTATAACTACAGCTAACTATAAATGTAAGATCTTGATATCAAAAGGCATGGTTAGTACTGTTTTAGTAAACAAATTATACTTTAAATTTCATCTTTAAGTAATATATATCAAAATGATTAAGTATCTAAACATTCCTAAATGGTTTGCGTTCTGGTGCTGTGATCATGTTTAATCCAGATTGAAAACTCAAGAGGCTTTCTTTATACTAATTATTTGTAATAAATCACACTATACTCAGGCTTTATCTACTTCTATTATGGAATATGCTGCAGAATTGACTCCTTGGTATGGAGTTGTACTACGAGTTCTCTCTCAAAAAAGAAATGTTTCTAGCCCTTGTAAGTACAGAGATAACCTTGAAAATGTAACCACAGTACAAACTGATGCAGTGGTGCCTGCCAGAGCCTGGAAAGAACTTGAAAACAAGTGAGGTCAAACTATATTATCGACCTTAAAAGGGTCTGCACTCTGATTCCACAGTTAGAGTTGGACTTTTCTAATACACAAATTTGGCATTTTTGCTATGGCATTCACCATTTGCTGCAGCTAGGCACGCTATATTGTTTTTTGCCCTTCCTGTCCTGCATCTTGCTCTCTAGCTTTCCCTACAAGATGAGGTTAGTCTGATTACAGTGCATACTTCCTCCTACACTGTTCCATGGAATCAAGCAGCAAAGGTTCAGGGAATGATAGCTCAAGTTTAGTTTGCAGCCAGGGAGTGACAGGAACCAGAAGTGTAGGCTGTCTGAAGGAGATACTTCTTTGGAATATACAATGGAAATGAGGTTCTGGGGCGGGTTGCTTGGACAGTGCCCAAGGAGTGTGGCAAAAATCCCTCATCTTCACAAATGGTCCAAAAATTGCTACATTTTACACTCCACTGTAAGCCACAGCTGTGTGGAGGTGAAAAATTCATGGTAGAATCAACATTGCTACAAAACGTGGTCTGATTGTGCCTGACCTCTAGGTGCTTAAAGGTACTATTTCAGACAGATGCTGGCTGAAGTATTTTATTACAGCCTGAATCCCTCACAAGCACAATGCAAGTTGCCACTAGTCCCTAACTTTGGTTGTGCCCACCTGCTCCAACTTTATCTCTGATAGCCCAAATTATAAATATCCTAAATAACTGGCATTAGGGCAGTGTTTTTCAAACTTTTTTTCTGGCAACCCAGTTGAAGAAAATTGTTGATGCCTGTGACCCAACATTGCTGAGGATGAGGGTTTTGGAGCATGGGAAGGGCTCAGGGCTGGGGCAGAGGGTTGGGGTGCAGGGCTCAAGGTGTGGGAGAGGGCTCTGGGCTGGATGCAGGAGGGTGTCTGTGCTGGGGGTGCAAGCTCTGTGGTAGGGCTAGGGATTTGGGGTGCCAAAAAGGGCTCCAGGTTTGGGGGGCTCAGGGCTGGGGCAAGGGAGTGAGGCACAGTGTTGGGGTGTGGGATTACCTCGGGTGGCTCCCGGTCAGCGGCTCAGCAGGGGTGCTAAGGCAGGCTTCCTGCCTGTCCTGGCACCATGCACCACATTGTGCACCAGAAGCAGCCAGCAGCAGGTCCGGCTCCAAGGCGGAGGCACGCAAGCAGCTCCACACAGCTCTTACCTACAGGCACCACCACCACCCACCCCCCCAAGCTCCCATTGGCTGGGAGTGAGGCCAATGTGAGTGCGGAGCCAGTGCTCAGGGCTGGGGCAGCGTGCTGAGGCCCGTGGCCGCCCCACCTAGGAGCCAGACCTGCTACTGGCCACTTCTGGAGTACAGCACAGTGTCAAAACAGGTTGGGATTAGCCTGCCTTAGTCGGGTAGCACCGCCGACGGGACTTTTAACAAGACGGTTGGTGGTGCTGACCGGAGCCACTGCAACCCAGTGCCTTACATTCCTCAACCCAGTACTGGGTCACGACCTGCAGTTTGAAAACCACTGCCTTAGCACAGGACGTTCCTTTCTTCCCCCTACTGAAGAAATGCCAGCTCAGGGCAGTTCTAGAGCTTCACAAATAGGCTGTCTTCCAAGAATAGGCTGCTCTTACTGCTTCAGAACTGACATCCATCCTTAGGTCACATCCCCTTTCTCTACTACCCTAATTGGTAGGTCTCTGCTCCCTTCAAAATCTGCAGCAAGTTTGTAGTCCTCCCAGCATCTCCAAAATACGGGAGGAAGGAGACAGAAGGATGGCATTTTCCTTCAGCTACTGGAGTCTCCCAGCAGAGGAGGGGGGATACTAAAGTCCATCTTTTTAAAGGTATTTTGGTGCCTAAATATGCAGATTGGCATCCAAGTACATTTAAAAATATGGCCCTACATGCCTGCCTTCTTTCTTTCTTCTGTCCCAGCCAGTACAGCAGCATCTCCCTACTTCAAGCAGAGTTAGGGCATTTTAAAAACTCAGACAAAAAATGGTTAAACTTTCACGATATTAGTAAGTTGGTAGAATTAAATACACAAGTTTTACTTAGATCCAGGGGTGAAGAGGAATTACAAACAGTCTTGACTGTTAATTAGGCAATAAGCATTGTTGAAATGGGAAAACCAAGTTGAGTGAGTTTAGTTAAAAATTTATTTTAGATCCCCAAAGGCCAAAGCATCTTACATTCTCCCCGCAAATGTATTTATTATGCTGAAATAAGACATTCTCCCATGCAGATAAGGCATGTGAACACAAAGCATAAAAACATTCCGTTTCCCTGTAACATTCCATATGAATAAATAACTTCACTAGCACAATAAATCTATGAGCAGCAGTAACAAACTGGGCTGAATGAAACATATGTTCAATATTTCAGAACACACTGATATGATCTAATGAAAACAAAGTGATGCAATTCTATAAGTCAATATTTTTGGCACAATAAAGATAATTGCTTTGGTGATTTTCTGAATATTTGCATATCCCTTTCAATGTGATAAGTTGCAGCATGAAAGGTTAGTAATGTCATTTGACAGGTGGTGCACATTACTGCAAATGAGACAATATACTTGCATATACATTACCCACAAACTCAACTTTTTGGTACAGTGGATTGGGGTAACCTGCCTATTCTGCATATCAGGCAGCAATGAAAATTCAATCATACCAGAAAAATATAGAACATTTCTGCAAGAGGCTCATACTATTAATACTAATGTGTAGATGAAAGTACAATTACAACTTATAATTTCAAACATTTAACTTATCTTAAAATGTCTCTCTTCCCCCCCAGACTTTTCCTTAAGAAAAGTTGTTTAAGAGCCCTGGCACTGCTGGGCAAGGCTATTTTGATCCCTTCATGCCATTTAGGATTGTAGGCCAGTGTTTTAAGTATCTGTGGCATGGCTTCTCTCCAGGAAATTGCAAACACAGTTCCTTTTCTTTATAGTTAGATGGGAATGGGGTCCCAAGACTTTTCTGTTGTAACATGGACTCATGGTTTGGAAAAGGTTGGGAATCACTAATTCTTCCCTCATATCAGGGTAGCACAAGAGGGACAGTGAGAACTGTGAGGACTTCTAAACACTTGTAGTTACTGTCAGGAGGTCCATTTTACCCACAGCAATCCTTTGCAAACAAAGGCATTCCAATTGGGATCAAAGATTCTGGTGTTAAGCAGCGGGGGGTACCGAACATGCAAAGGACTGTCTGACCTTTCTATCATGGAGCCCTTGGGTCTGCAATTGCAAGCCTGTTAAACTGGAAGTGAATTAGCTTGTCAGACTTCCCACCTGATTTCTGTTACTATTAACCTATTTCAGAGTAACAGCTGTGTTCGCCTGTATTCGCAAAAAGAAAAGGAGTACTTGTGGCACCTTAGAGACTAACCAATTTATTTGAGCATGAGCTTTCGTGAGCTCATGCTCAAATAAATTGGTTAGTCTCTAAGGTGCCACAAGTACTCCTTTTCTTTTTATTAACCTATTGACACTGTGTGACTGAAATATACATTTTTAGTTACAGGAACTCTACTTTAATGTAGCTAAATGATGAATTACAACATACAGTTTGCAGTACCAGCGGAATATTCTCTTACTGACTATTCTAAGTACACTCTAACCAAATGCCTCAGAACCATCCCTAGGTTCCATTTGTAAGCAAATGTACCTCAACTTAGCGACAATGCATTTTATTCATTCTAAAAAGTGTTTAAGTTCTAAAAAGTTTAAATGATATATCCTTAATTTTGTTTTACATTCTGTACAAAAAATATTTTACAAAGATGTCTACACAAAAGTTTAATTGCAGTAATACAGACAGCACAAACGAGCATAACTATGCATCATAATTTTTACCTTAAAAACATTCGAACACTTTGAAAAGTAATGCTTTTACCTTAACACTTGGTATTTTCAGAAAAGTGCCTTGTGCATTTAAAAAATACCTACTTTGTGCATCTTGAAACCAACCATTTAAACACTGAAATATTAAGAGTGAAATCCACACTAGAACATGAATTGCTTTAAGTGCAACGTATGATTATGCAGATATTGTAATGAATGTTTCAAGATGAAATCTCCATAGACCACAACTGTACACTTAATAATCCTACACTGCAAGCCGCAATGGATCCAGAATAGGCATTCACTTCACTCGCTCCCATGCTTTTGTAACTGAATAAACTGCATTCATACAGTAACCCCGATACTAATTTTCTTTAGTTTATGGCAGAAAGTTTTCCTGCACAAGTCAAAGGAAAAGTAGAACCTACAAAGAAGTCAACTCACACTGCTCTTAAAAGAAGTTCTATTAAAGTAACTTCAGCTGAACTCATTTTGCTGAATGAAAGCATCAGCACTGATGAGCACAATTCTCTAATTCTTGTTTAGGAAAGTAGCAATACATTAGATTGCCTCTTTTGGATGTATGCTCTCTGTACGTAAGCATCTGCATTTCTTGAGCTTTCAGTCGTTCAACTGCCCCAATGTGTGGCATGCATCTTTCAGGTGATGTGTGACAGCCACTAACTGCTTAAAGCAGTTCCTCTTCATAAGACTCAAACAAGTATTGAAAAATTAAGTCCCTCTTTCACAGGAGGCAGATGGGAGAGTGAATGCTCTATTTTTACTACATTTTTTTGAAGTCTATAGATATTAATTTCTTGATGAAACCTGTTAGAATCCCTTCTATTGAAGACCAAGAATAAGGTATCTTAAAAAATGCCAGACCTTTCTCAAACATGGAAAATGGTGACAACAACAAGTCATGTTACTGAAGCGTCATTGCTCTCAACGTAAGTTACATATACATTTAAATGATAGACGGCAACAGAAATGTGCTCTGAATCCAGAAGTTCATTTAACAAGTATTTTTACAAAGTCCTGGAGTCACTTGGAATAAAATTTTCAATGTCCTGCACTTGAACTCCAAGACATCAAAAATTTCAGAAGCTTAATCAACTATTTATGACCACATTAATACATCAAGTTTCATCAGTATGGACAAAAGAGTGAGGCTCTTCCATTGCCTACTTACCTCTGGACAAACAGATGTAGCTCTTTCCTATTAAGATTTCATCCAGAAGTAAAACATTTCAGCAGAAAAACATCTGGAGTTGTACCATACATTATGTCCAACAGCATTTAAACAGTTGATAGAGGAGTATTGCCAACTTTCGGTTCCATTTCAATAATTGGTGCATAGCATTTGACACATCAGTTAAGCATCCACAGTTGAGAGATCATTTTATGTATGGTCTCGATTTACAATGTTCTTCTGATGGTCCTCCTGCTTTTTGCCAGCAAGTCCTATGCTCTGATGAGAAAACACTGAAGAGCATTTTTAAAAAGATGCCTTGAGTTCAAATACCATGTCAGCACAGTCTACTGATTTATTACACAATCTTGCATCTTTCAGAAATCCAATTTCTTCAGCTGTTCGTATGTCAAAAAGAACTGTGCAATTAGTCAAGGAAAACAATTGCAGATATTTGCATTTTTTATTTAACACACTTGTGATGCGTAATTCCTACTGCATTCACTTAACTACTGACTGCAGCCCTGTGGAACTTTGGTCTCCCATTAAATGCCTCCTAACACAACCACCAGTCCACCACAAAACAAGTCACTCCTCTCCAGCAGTTGCTATAATGTTCCCTATAGTCCAGGGCACAGAGAACTCTAGGCAATATTGTAGCAAACTGCTAATGGGAAAACTTGTTTCAGTGCATGTTACTCTCACCAACAGGATCCTCCTAGTGCAGCCTAATTCTTCCCCAAGTTCTATCCCAAACACCTTAAACATGAAAGTTAGAATTGGGGAAAGGTCAGAGGCCACAATAGGAGAGGAACCCACAGCCTTTTTGACTCTTATCTTCTTAGTGGGTGAAACTCTGAAGCTGTGTAGATTCTTGTTTGGGGGAAGAGAGAAAGGAATATTACAGCTGTGCCTCATCTTCTCACAAAACAATGAACTTAAGGATAAACATATGCCAAATGGTCTACTGTACAAGTTGTATAATAAGGTAAAAATTGGTGTGTGAAAAGATCTTTGACCATCTACAAACAGTTTTATTAATGCAGGAAATAGTTTCAAACAGAAACCCACCCACCCACCCTCCTCCACCCAAACTGCTAATTGACCTGATCACTATTATGTCAACTAAACTGCAATCTAAAAACATGCAAATGGTAAATTGAGAGCTAAAGGAAAAAATGTTTTGAAAAAGATTATATTTAGAGGTTCAGCTTTATATAAATCTTAGGGAATATTAATAGGTGCCATAGTACTCCATTTATAAAGAGATGGAAAATAAATTTACTTTTATACTGACAAGTTACACCAAATGTTTTATATGAAGCACAATTCACTAGTCAATTGTCTCTCTACTCAATGCCTACTGCTCTTCACAAAAAAGTTTAATAAATATTTCCAAATACTTCTGAAGAGGATACGATAATATTCCAAGGACCGAGTCTCAACCAGTTTGGCCAGAATCCTTTATATAAAGCAAAAAAGCCTTCATACCTCCAGGTCTGAAAAAAATATTTTAAAAACGCATATGAATGAGAAAAGAGTAAAACAAAACTTTCATTGAAAGATTATATCCAAAGAACAGCTAATACTTTACATAATGAATGCAATTACAAGGTGCTCTGTGCTACCTCAGGAGGAAGACATTTGGTTCAATTCACAGTAATCGTCTCTTGTCTCATAGCAATTCAGACTGGGAATGTTGCAGAATTACTGCCCATCCAGTTTTGGACAGAGACAAGAGTCGTGACTACCTTGATAAAACCTTTCAGGGGAAGTTTGGCATTTAAACCTGCTGATCAGTGACATTCTTGTGGAATCAGCAATAGGACAGCAGGAGTTTTCAACACCAGACTAAGTAAATTAAGATCTTACTTTAACCATAACAATGTGGATTATTTAATTTAAATATAGAGCATATATTTAAATTAAATAATCCACATTGACAGCAACATTACAGAACTAATTTAACTTTACTAGAAAAGACGTATTAAAAACTAAATTTAAGCCCAGTAAGGGGGTTATTTTTGTCCAGTAAAGGAGCATGAAATATCAGACATAATATTAAGAATCAGACCTAGTCAAAAAGGCTAAGTTTGCGATTGTTTTTTGAAAATATTTCCCCACATTTTTGAAGTTTGAAAAGTTTCAGCTGCTCTCACTAGAAACATTTAACATATAACTTAAGACTCAAACAGAGCAAGTCATATGCGACTACAGGCAATAACTAGAGTCTTTTTGAAGAAATAATTTTCATTTTCAAAGATAATTTTATGTAGTGTTATTTTAAAAAGGGATCTTTCATTTACATTGGGCCCACAATTTCCCCTTCCCAGTCATCCACTACATACAAAGAACAATATTAGGTTTTATGCATTATGGGGAAAGATTAGTATATTTTTGAAACAGCTTGCATTGCAAAGTTTCTGGAGGGAGATTTAACTTCCCATGCGGCATTGTGAACCCAAATAGCAAGTTAATTCCCCATTCCACACCTTGCTCTGTTTAAACTTCTTCAGTGAAGACTGAAGACTAGGAAACCCACACCTGAAATCTGTGACACAAAGGGTATGTCCACACCACAAATTAAGGAATAATTGTAGCAGGGCTAGGCAAACCCACACTGGCTTTGATTTAGCTAGTGAGGGTAACAGCATGTGACAGCATGTGCTAGCCATCCCAACACAAGCCAACTGGGGATCCTAGGTATGTATTCCAGCAGCTAGCCCAAACCAAGGTCCATGCTACCATGTCTTCATTGTCACTGTTACCAGTACTAAATTAAAGCTGTAGCATAGGCAGGCATACCAACACTACTTGCCCCTTAATTTGCAGCAGAGACATACCCATGTTTCCTGTTGCTATTTGGGCTACAAAAAACTGTTGGGTTTTTTTAGCATGAACCTTTACAAACATATTTTAAAACACAAAGCAACATTTAATGACAAGACACCAGACCCTAAAAACAGCCATACTGGGTCAGACCAATGGCCCATACAACCCAGCAACCTGTCTCTGACTATGGCCAGTGGTAGACTCTTTTCAGAGGGAATGAAGACAACAGGGCAATCTTAAATGATCCTGCCTGTAGTCCAGTCCCAGGCTCTAGCAGTTGCAGGTTTAGGGACACCCAGCGTATGTGGTTACATCCCTGATCATCTCGGCTAATAGCCATTGATGGACCTACCCTCCGTGACCTTATCAAATTCTTTTGAACCCGTTTTACTTTTAGTCTTCACAACATCCTCTGGCAATGAGTTCCACAGGTTGACTGTGCATTGTGTGAAGTACTTATATTTGTTTTAATCCTGCTGCCCATGAATTTCATTGGAAGACCCCTAGTTTTTGTATTATGTGAAGGAGTAAATCACACTTCCCTATTCACTTTCCCCATATCATTCATGATTTTAGACCTCTATCATATCCCCTTAGTTGTCTCTCTTTTAAGCTGAACAGTCCCAGTCTTTTTAATGTCTCCTTGTATGGAAGCTGTTCCATACTCCTAATTATTTTTATTACATTAGAATTGGAAAAGGTGTGACAAAAGGAATCTTTTTTGAAGTAACAACCAGAGCTGTATGCAATATTCAGCGTGGGCACACCATGCATTTATATAGTGGCATTCTGGATATTGAAAAAAACTGGATTTGTGCTGGAAATGGCCCAACTTGATTATCATACACATTGTAAGGAGAGTGATCACTTTAGATAAGCTATTACCAGCAGGAGAGTGGGGTGGGAGGAGGTATTTTTTCATGTTTTGTGTGTATATAATAAGATCTTCTAAACTTTCCACAGTATGCATCCGATGAAGTGAGCTGTAGCTCACGAAAGCTTATGCTCAAATAAATTGGTTAGTCTCTAAGGTGCCACAAGTACTCCTTTTCTTTTTGCGAATACAGACTAACACAGCTGTTACTCTGAAACCTGGATATTTTCTGTCATCTTATCTTTCTTAAAAGTTCCTAACATTGTTAGCTTTTTTGACCTCTGCTGTATATTAAGCCAGTGTTTTCAGGGAACTATCCATGATGACTCCAAGATCTCTTCCTTGAGTGGTTAACAGCATCATTGTGTGAGCACAATTGGGATTATTTTTTTCAGTGTGTATTACTTTGCAGTTATCAACATTGAATTATTTCTGCCATTTTGTTTCCCAGTCACTGAATTTAGTGAGATCTGTTTGTAATTCTCTTCTCAGTCAGCTTTAGACTTAACTATCTTGAGTAATTTTATATTATCTGCAAATTTTGCCACCTCACTGTTTACCCCTTTTTCCAGATCAATTACGAATATGTTGAACAGTGATTTAGGCACAGGTGGGAGTTACTTAAAAACCTGCAACTGAAACAAATGGCCAGGTTGTATTTAATTCATGTTCGTTTCCAAGACAGCCTCCCCAAGAGACCTTGCAGGAGGTAATGACCTGTAATCCACTTACAGCAAAACAGCATTCAGCACCTTTAGACACCAATCACCAAAATCAGTCTTTCCTACTGGCCCTAGCAGCTTCTTCTGGTACCGTTTCCCTCCTTCACCAGCAGGTGGCCCTGTGTTAGATATGTTCCTCAAGTAGCCTATAAGACAGTGGTCTACAATCTTTTTACACACAAGATCACTTTTTGAATTTAAGATCCACTGAGGATCTATCCCACCCCTTCCCCGAGGCCCTGCCCTGCCCACTCCATTCCCCACTCTCTCCATCGCTCGCTCTTCCCCACCCTCACTCACTTTCACTGAGCTGGGAAGGGGGGCAGGCTCTAGGCTGGGGCCAAGAGATTTGGAGTGTGGGAGGGGACTCTGGGCTGAGCCTGGGACAGGGGGGTTGGGGTGCAGGAGTGAGGGGTGCCAGTTGATCAACTGGCAGAGGCTTCAGGATCGACCAGTCAATCGTGATCAACAGGTTAGTGACCACTGCTGAAAAGTGGGTTGAGACAATACAGTAGCCACCACAGGGGGAAACGGCCAGTCTAAGCCATAGACTACAGGGCACTACAGTGGCAATGCTACAGCACCTGTAGCATAGAAATTTCTATAGCGACACATTATCTACAGTGACAGAAAAACTGCTTCTATCTCCCCATGCAACAGTAGCTAGGTCTACAGAAGCTTTCTTCTATCTGCCTAGCCACATCTATACCAGGAGTTAGGTTGGCATAGGTACGGCACTCAGAGGTGTGAAGCTACGTCGAACTAACTTAAGCATAGACCAGGGCTTAGTACCCACTAATGCAAGATGCAGCTGGTAACAGCAAAAGGTACTACACAAATGCCTCCACCTAAGAGAGGAATGGAGTTCATTATGTCCTGGTAAGAGCCTTTGGGTGACTGTCTCCTTGGAAGCAGCTTCCAATTACACTTACAAATACTCAGGAACAGGATGTTTAACTTTGTTTCCCATAACAAAAAGTTGTTTCCCATAACAAAAAGTTTCAAAAAGTTGCTGTGTGTTTCCTACCCACTTCTCTTTTGGAGCCCCGTCTCCCAGTCAGTACAATCCTGGCTCACTCCCTCCAAATAATCTAACTTGACTCCTTCTAGGGGAAGTCATTGTTTTTGGCACAGCCAGTCAGAACCTAGGATACAACAAACCACTTCCTGTCTGCTCTGGCTATAATTCTCCTGTCCCCTGCCTTCAAGCAGGAAGTAGAAGCAAGAACTGTGAAAAGTGAGAAATCTTTTTTTTTTAAACTGATTGATTTCTGGCGATACTACACCTCTCTTCATCCCAACTGCAAATGCAAGCTATAAAGAACTGTCAATCTTGGTAGGTCCCTATATTCAGGGATTTGAAATATTCTCCTCTCTCCTTGTCCCAATATTTCAATAAATATTTTCATAAGTTTTTCAGTACCTTTTTAAAAAGTGTGCTCACATCAGAAGAATTCCCTGTTAGTATACCTGACCTAAATACCAGCAGGAATGAATGCATATATGTTCCTCCATGTTGCAAGCAGACCTCTTTCCATTTCATCAACACTGAGAACAGATTTTACATAGCAGAAGGTGGGAGAGATGGGGCAGGATTTGAGTCCAAATTTTTGAAAGATGCACATGGCACAGCAAGTTCAAAAGTTAAAATGTATTATTTCCAGAGTTCTCTCTACAAGTCCTACACCACAGAAGTGGTGTTCTAGAACACCTACCTAGATTCTACATTCTACCTAGAACGCTATCTACCTACAATGCAGAAAACCCTCTAATTCATGTCTGATATCACAAGATTGTATAAAAGTTACCACTAGTTGCTATACACTTTGTACTTACTTGTAATAAGCAATCCAAAGTACCCTTGTACCCTGAATGTGTTCCATCTCGAAATTTTCTCTGATTCATCATCCGTGTCCTCACAACATCAACTGGATTTGATGCAAGTGCTCCAGCTAATCCACAGGTGAAGCTTGAGCTAATGAAAGAAACCATTATAAAAATATGACCTACTACCACCAACTTAGAAGTATACAGAAACATTCCCTCCCTTATGGAAAATTTTAGCTATAGCATAGACATTTTAAAGTTGTGTTTGCATTTTTATCAATAAACTACTTTTTCAGTTAGTTTTACCTGACAAAAATATATATCAAGCTAAGACTTGTTATATACACACACACAGAGTAACAATCAGGAAGACGTTTCACACTTTAAAAATCCATCCCTTTATTTTCAAAGTAGTAAACACATTTTAGTTTCAGCCTTTATATACATACCTAATTTAGGTATTTTGAACCATAAAAATGTCTACATAGGTCAAAAATTACATAAATAGCACAAAAAACTATTACCTTCCATGGCATGAAATGTCATTTGAAATAATACTACAAGTAAACATTTAAATACACTAGAAGTATATTTACATCTCAAGTGATAGTGAGAAAAAAGTGTGAGATCTAATTATATTCTCTGAAAAGTCTAACATTAAGAGATTAATGTGTAACCTCTGAAAGGGGATTTAATCATACAACTAGATCTTTCTAAACTTAACTCTTATGCTTGTTCAAACTTACAGGAAGTGAGTATACACAGTGTCTCCCATGAGTCCAGACATAATTATGTGCTTCTTGGTGAGATCATAGACTGGCAGCTCCACTCCCACAACAATAGCAGCTCTCTGAGCTGTTAAGGACACCCCCTGGCAAAACAAATGTACAATGTTTGAGATTTTAAAAACTGCATCATTTATATGTCTGGTTGAAGATAACTCATATACTATTACATTTTAGATTAAAAGCACCTAGGAAATATTCATAGAACAAGTTTTGTATACTGAGAAAATACACTTTATGAAGTTTTTTTAAAAAATAAAGTGGTGTATGGTATAAAGGTGTGTAAATGTACTGCTTGGAAAAGATCCCAGACGGACCAACCTGGTGACTGGAGTTAATTTGCAGAACAAAAAGCACACCAGCAATACAAACTTCCCCATACTGCCCCACCAACATCTCAGCCATGACCTACAGCAGATGTTCTCAAACTGAAGTCTATGGACTGCTGCTGGTAGTCTGCTGAGAGCTGGCAGGCTGGTGCTGGCTCATCTTACAGTCAGCTTAGAGAAACCAAGAATATTGAGGGGGGAGATAAAATGGAGAGCAAAAGTAGACTGACTGCATTTTTCAAAGACTAACCACTAATTGTCAACAGGTGGAAGTGCAAATATTTTTCATGCACAGAATTTCAGTAGTGGCCAGAGAGATTTTCTGTAATCATGAATGGTTTACGAGGCAGTCCATGACATGCTAAAATACAATCCACACTGAAAATTTGAAAACCCCCAATCAGTTACAGGTGAGAAGGTAAGTTCATTAAATATTATTTAATGCCAAATACAGTTTATTTTAAATACCATAGTGCTTTTCATCAGCAGATGATAACATGTTTTACAAAGGACTTCCCACACCATTTAAATGGCTAATGCCCAATTCCTCCACACTGCAGAAATTATTCCAATTTTGCAGAAGGGAAAAAGATGTGCACAGCTTAAGTAGCTACTTCAAGTTCACATGGTGCTTGGTAGAATTTGGAATAAAATCCTATTCTCGCAGGTCCCATTCTCCGAGACACATGCCTTAACCCACTGGATCACAAGAAACTGACCACTGAACAACTCCTCTACCATCATGGGCTAAATCTGAAACAGAAGATTATAAATCAAGAGTCTATTCAAATTATCAATCCCCAGAGCCATTTGGTCCCTGCTTTCACAGACATTCATCTAACGAAGCGAGCTTCCCCATACTGAAGCTATTTAACAAAACAGCCTGCTCTTAAACCAAGATATAATATATTTAAAGGTGTCTTTCAATTTTAAGTCAGCCAGTAAAGGTATACATAGTTAAAATTAATTCTACATGGTCACAATACTCCTTGTAAGTGTTATAACTTGAGGTTAATTCAAGTTCATGGAAGAGTTCTATTCCCCATGCCAAGGAAATATTTTACCATCACCAATATAAGTAACAGTTTTCAGCTGGAGAGGATAACTTTTGTCAATAACTTATAGCAGAGCTAAGGTTGAGAAGCATCATTTAAAGGCTAACTCCAAGTGTTCTAATATCCACATGCTTATTCTGATTGCCTTGAAATTAGCTATACTTCAAAGGGTGAGCTAAGTATCCAAATTTGGGGTCATTTGAGCAAAGGAGTCCCTGAGGAAAAAAAGAGACCCTTAAAAAAAAGAGCATTTAATGTTCACAAATTCTACTGATGTGTTTTGTGCAGATATGGGACTTAGATCATGGCTTTGATCACACCCCAGATTTAAACCAGATAGTGCATGCCATGCACTACCTCTTTGGAGAAGTAATATTGAAAATGTTGATCAAAAAAGAGAAACTTTCTAGAGAGGTCTGCACTCAATGTTCATGTGCCAAACAGATTACAAAGTACACGTGCAGGAAATCTAGCCAAGAGGTTTCTAGTCAGCCAGTTTCCACATGACTTGGGTGGCTCCTGGGGACATGCTACGGTCATTGAACTTGAGCTGCACGCAGGCAATAAAGTTTGAAACCTACATTTGGCAGAAATCTTTGAAATATCTGTATGCATATTTTGTACAATCCCCTTGTACCAGGGTATTTTTTTGTTCGGGGAAAATATAATCTGAGTACATCAGGTAATTCAAAAGGTGCTCAAACTATTTCTGAGAAGAAAATAAGATACACCTGCAAACAACTGCTGAGAGGATTAGAGGCAGAGGAGTGGGGGAGGGGCTGAGGTGAGCAAGAGGTTGGGGGCTCAAGTCAGAAGGAGTGGGAGGCAGGGGGCCTGTTAGCTCCCTATCCTCCCCCCCGTGCCAGGATCTGGGAAAGTTCTACCAGATGGGGATAGGAGCCCCTCTCTGCTCTCCATGTGAGCCAGGATCAAGGGGCTCCTGAAGATAAAGCAAATTGAAACCTCTAAAAAACTAGGAAATGTGTCAAGGTGACTCCCCTGCATGGGGTAGAACAGATAGGTTAGGGGAAAGCTGGGGAAACCTGCCTGAAGCAGGGGCAAAGGGGCCCAGTCTATCTAACCAAGGAAGTGTGGAATCCTCCAGTAAGGTGCTGCCCATCATGTGTATGCAGAAGAGAGTGCCACATCATATTTATGCAGCAAGGAACAACCTTCTATGTGCTAATGGCTAAATGGGACTGGAAAGGGAGGGTGAGCTAGATGCTGGCTTGGGGCTAGATGTTGCAGGGAATGGTGGGGAAAGAGTGGAGAAGGACAGACACCAGTCTTCTCAGACTTGCTTAGTTACTGAAAATGCCATGTAATAGACACAGTTTGTCCCAAACTCCTGATAGAGCTGATGAGAGGAATCACAACTGTAAGCAGTTATATCCTCCAAAACATTTCAAAGCATGACCACTGTCCCCATTCCACTATAACAACGTGCATAAGAAGGTCGAAGTGTATATAGGAATCACAACTATGTGGCCCAGTAGACAGAGCCAAGGAACTGCGACTCAGCAGACCTGGGATCTATTTCTGGCTATGACACTGACCTGCTGGGTGAACAATATAATGTTGTTAACCTCCTTTGTAAAGTGTTTTGTGATCTTCTGATGAAAAATGCTGTGAGCTAGACATCACCACCAGCCGTGCTAGCATCTCAACTGCAAACCTATGAAATAACTACAACTGCGTAAATGACCACTAACTCCTACAAAAAATTACTCAAACTAGGAAGTTCACTGACAAGAAACTTCATTAATCTGGAGTTAACTTTGCTCAGTGATGTCTTGAACCCTTCCAGAATGTCAAGTTTAGTAACATTCAAACCTCTGAAAACCAGGAAGTGAAGAGTTAAGGGTCATGCCAACGTAACCCGAACAATGCCCTAGTATGTCCATAAACTCTCACTCTTGTACACTACACTTTTTGTAAAATGGAGATAATATTCCAAAGAGGTGATGAGTCTATCTACATACATTAATACTTCTCAAGTGCTTTTGAAATCCTTGAATGGCAAGTAATATAGCAGTTAAAAATATTAATATACATATATACAACTTTAGGTACATCTTACACCAATATTTTGGCAGACATTGCAGAGCTATATGCAACAATATGTAGAACAGTAAATGGATTTTTTTTTAACGTACTATTGCAAGAACAACCTCGGAAGAGTTAGTGTAATAGCTGAAGAACTTACTTTCCATAGTCCTCTAGTGCCTTCTTTTTGGTAAATTTGTATGAAATTGCCCATCATTCCTCCTTGAATCACACTGCCTTGGGCCTGCATTCTGATCTAAGGCAGCCCAAAACAAAAAGCAGTTATCAGTTTTCAAACACTGAAAATTATAATTTAGTTTAGTTTCTCAACATTATGAAGAGGCGCTGCAAAATATTACAGTTTAAAACATTTTCAAAATATGATCTCTGCTTCTTAACTATACAAGTATGGACTGACTGCATCATGGTAGTACCACCTATCTGTAGATACATATCAGCTATCCTTCAAGTGCAGCTGCTATATTTGGAACAGTTGAATTTGAACTAGTACTTGGTGTAGCTTTTAGATTAGTTACCACAAATCACTGCTATTTTTGAATTGGTGCACTAACATGTAGATTAGATTGACAGAAGACTTCTGCATGGTGTCCTTTACAGTGTTCTCCCTTGAACTCACCAGCTACATCTTAACACAAAAGGTCAATATGATGAGAGTTTCAGCTGGGAAGAACTATGTACTTTACTTTTTGGATTTGAAATTAAAGACTGATTTTTCAAGGACAAACTGCTGGATTCATGGTAAGTGTGACAAGCAAATGAGAATTCACCCCTAATTTTAGGAGTTAGTGTTGTCACCCAGCCCAACATGCATATCATCACTCCAGAATAGAGCCTGTCACAAGTTCAGGGAAACTGCAGCTGTATTCTCCCTCTACGATCCAGCAAGGGCACGCCCCTCTAGGCTTCCAGCTCCCCTACCATTGCCTCTTCAGGGGAGACATGCATCTCTCTCCCTTCTAACTGGGGTATTTACAGGCTGCACAGACTCCTGACCATGTGATTTTCTCAGAAAGAGGCTGTAAGCAGGCATGATTCAAGTCTCACCTGAGAGTACACAGTGTGATTGTCAGTTGTGAGTTATCACACGGCTATTTCTAAGCAAGCAGATTTATTCTTAAGGTAGAAAGCATTACAGAGAAAACACTAAAAACATTAAAACATACGTGCATGCTAAAAAGCTTGCCGGAGATCACCCCCACGCTACAACAAGTATTCCAATTGGTGATTAGTCCTTCAAATCCCACCCACATAGCAGTGTTCCCTATGGTCATAAGTTGATCACACCTTCAACTCAGAACAAGTGCTCAGATTATGTGCCCTCAGTAGGTCACAGTCCTTCCAACCCTTCCCTAAAGATTGGGACCCACCTTGGACCAGAAGTCCTGTCCGTTTCCAGGTTAGAAAGGCCCTGAACCTGTTTAAAACCAGGCTATTTATCCAAATATCTTTCTTTGTCCATTGGTTCCTGGAGAAACCAGTTTGACCTAGTATATATGAAGTTCTGCAGAGGCAGCTTCAAAGGGCCAATAACCAGAGAAATTATGTTAGCATCACCCTCCTTCTAAAAAGTTGTACACAATCTCTAACGCAAACAATCGCATTTTTAAATACAATGAACTCCAGTGACATTTAACTTAATTCATTAAAGTTTGTCCAGGGTATTGTCCTCTGTCACATTGTATGCTATAATTCCAGAATAGAGCCAATAAAGGCTTACCTGTGTTGATACTTCCACTACCCCTTCTATGAAATGGGAAGTTTTAAACAATTTGTTTTCATTCTATTTTATTTGAAGGAAGGAGGACTAATTAGGCACTATGTAAAAAGCAATGTTTTTCCCCTCAATCCTCAGAAAACTTTAGCATGTGCAGAAGCAGCCAAGTAATCTCAGGCCATGATCTTGTAAGTTAAATAGGATCAACCTTACCAGTACTTGGACAGGAGATAATCACAAATTTTAAAACAGTTGCTGAAAATGTGGTGTTGGTGATTTCACTAAGTGGCACTCTGCTTAAGTCATTAATGCACCATGCAGGGGCATTGTTTCAAAGGGACACTGTGCTACTAGTTTTTCCATAGGTGACAGAATAGAGATCCTGACCTACTGGATTTTTTTTCTAGAACCCTAATGCTTCTTCCAACCTAGAGATTTCTGGATGTCAGTGATTGGTAAGTAGTCCTTTACATACTTCCAAATGAACAGCATTGTAAGTTGTCTAGGTCAACTTACACTGATTTCTTTAAATTTAGAGTACAGCTTCAGCACGTCAAGTTTGGAGCAAAAAGGGGGGCGGGGAAAGCAACTTTAGTAGTTCATTGTGTTCTGAAGCAACAAAAAAGTAATCAATTAAGTGTTTCTCCTTGCTTCCAAGGACACTGATTTCATCAAATTGCATGCCCCCAGCTGACCAGCATGCCTGGAGGGAAATTTCTACAGTTCAGTTTTTCCCCAGGAACCTCTGAATTACTGAGTAAGTAATCTCAAAGTGAGTATATTTAAAGCAATAGAACACAGCATGCAATGATCATCATGTAAAAGAAGCAGTGAGAGATAAAGGCATCTTTTAAAAAGTGGAAGTCAAATCCTAGTGAGGTAAATAGAAAGGAGCATAAACACTGCCAAATTAAATGTAAAAATGTAATAAGAAAAGCCAAAAAGGAGTCTGAAGAACAGCTAGCCAAAAACTCAAAAGGTAATAAAATGTTTTTTTTAAGTACATCAGAAGCAGGAAGCCTGCTAAACAACCAGTGGGGCCCCTGGATGATCAAGATACAAAAGGAGCACTTAAAGATGATAAAGTCATCACAGAGAAACTATATGAATTCTTTGCTTCCGTCTTCACGGACGAGGATGTTAGGGAGATTCCCAAAGCTGAGCCATCTTTTGTAGGTGACAAATCTGAGGAATTGTCACAGATTGAAGTGTCACTAGAGGACGTTTTGGAATTAATGGAGAAATTTAACAGTAACAAGTCACTGGGACCAGATGGCTTTCACGCAAGAGTTCTGAAAGAACTCAAATGTGAAATTGCGGAACTATGGTTTGTAACCTGTCCTTTAAATCAGCTACTGTACCCAATGACTGGAAGGTAGCTAATATAACACCAATATTTAAGAAAGGCTCTAGAGGTGATCCTGGCAATTACAGACCGGTAAGTCTAACATCAGTACCGGGCAAATTAGTTGAAACAATAGTAAAGAATAAAATAGTCAACAGACGACCATAAATTGTTGCGCAAAAGTCAGCATGGTTTCTGTAAAGGGAGATCACGTCTTACTCATCTATTAGAGTTCTTTGAAGGGGCCAACAAACATGTGGACAAGGGGGGATCCAGTGGACATAGTGTACTTAGATTTCCAGAAACCCTTTGACAAGGTCCCTCACCAAAGGCTATTATGTAAATTAAGTACTCATGGGATAAGAGGGAAGAGCCTTTCATGGATTGAGAACTGGTTAGAAGACATGGAACAAAGGGTAGGAATAAATGGTAAATATTCAGAATGGAGAGGGGTAACTAGTGGTGTTCCCCAAGGGTCAGTCCTAGGACCAATCCTATTCAACTTATTCATAAATGATCTGGAGAAAGGGTGGCACAGTGAGGTGGCAAAGTTTGCAGACAATACTAAACTGCTCAAGATAGTTAAGGCCAAAGCAGACTGTGAAGAACTTCAAAAAGATTTCATGAAACTAAGTGATTGGGCAACAAAAAGGCAAATGAAATTTCATGAGGAAAAATGTAAGTAATGCACATGGGAAAAAAACCCAAATATTATACATACAATATGATGGGGGCTAATTTAGCTACAACTAAACAGGAGAAAGATCTTGGAGTCATTGTAGATAGTTCTCTGAAACTTCCACATAGTGTGCAGTGGCAGTCAAAAAAGCAAACAGGATATTAGGAATCATTAAAAAAGGTATAGAGAATAAGACTGAAAATATCTTATTGCCCTTATAGAAATCCATGGCACGCCCACATCTTGAATACTGCGTACAGATATGGTCCCCTCATCTCAAGAAAAAGATATACTGGCATTAGAAAAGGTTCAGAAAAGGGCAACTAAAATGATTAGGGGTTTGGAACGGGTCCCATATGAGGAGAGATTAAAGAGGCGAGGATTTTTCAGCTTGGAAAAGAGGAGACTAAGGGGGGATATGATAGAGGTATATAAAATCATGAGTGGTGTGGAGGAAGTGAATAAGGAAAAGGTATTTACTTGTTCCCATAATATAAGAACTAGGGGCACCAAATGAAATTAATGGGCAGCACGTTTAAAACAAATAAAAGGAAGCTCTTCTTCACTCAGCGCAAGGTCAACCAGTGGAACTCCTTGCCCAAGGAGGTTGTGAAGGCGAGGACTATAACCCGGTTTAAAAGAGAACTGGATAAATTTATGGAGGTTAAGTCCATTAATGGCTATTAGCCAGGATGGGTAAGGAATGGTGTCCCTAGCCTCTGTTTGTCAGAGGGTAGAGATGGATGGCAGGAGAGAGATCACTTGATCATTACCCATTGATCAACCCATTGGGTTCACTCCCTCTGGGGCACCTAGCATTGGCCACTGTAGACAGGCTACTGGGCTGGATGAACCTTTGGTCTGAACCAGTATGGCCATTCTTATGTTCTTATCAGTAGACTGTTCTCATCTCAAGAATACAAAGGAACCTATGCCGAAAATAGAAACTTGATAAAAAAGATCACTTACCTTCAAAACATCTGTAGGGTTGGCAATAGATGATGAAATCACCCCCGAAAGAATGCCACACAATACATTTACCACCAGGGTTTCATCTATTTCCAGAAGCAAAAACAAATTCTCAGCCACAGGCTTTTACACTGTGATAAGACATCAAGTGCAAGTCAATGCTTTACCTTCTTTAATGAAAGAGGCAGTTGAAAGTAAGTAGCCAAACCCTCAAAGTCAATTCTTTTTGTTTTTAAGATAGCTCAATTTTTGTTGGAATTTCATTTGCAGAAGCATTTTTGAAATGAATATAAAGCTGATGCATACATACATTTCATTGATACAATACAATGTATGTATGCATCATATGACTGATATTGAAACAATATAAACAACTTTAGATGAAATATATTAGCAAGCAGTGGTAACAAAGCTGAAAAACCCGCTCACCTTCTGGTTGCTCAACAAACACTCTCTTCAAGCTTTGGTAAGTGCCTATTTTTATTGTTCCATACGAAGCCTGGCGTAACATTGCAGGGGCAATCCTATAAAAATAGCAAGAAGCAGATAATGTATACATTCAAAGCTTCCCGAAGTCTCGGTACCCAGAAATACGGTTTATTCAATGAATTTTTAAGAGTAGGATAGGCTGAACTCAGGGTATGCAATAAAAGTGAAAGGTTTGTTCATTTAAACCAGATGATTTCAGAACCAGGACAGATGGGGGAAGGCCTGCAGTAAAAATTATATTCAAGCATGGAAGAAATGAAGGTGCGGTGGTACTACCGACCCTTTTAAAAGGGCTGAGGAAAAACCCTGACCACAGTGATTGCCATAATGAACACTGGTACTGATTTGGCAATCATTTCCTGCTTGGCAACGAGCTGAAAAATCTAAAAATCAATGTATACAGAACAAAAGATATTCTCTGAATAATGTTTTAAAACAGTAATTATAATTTCCTGTAACTTGATGTGGTACTTTGAAAGTATCGCCTGACATTAACAGTGCGAGTTTAAAACATGTCGCTAAAGTATAAAAGCTACATTTGAATACATATATGCACAGCACATGCATGTTTCAATATTATGTCAGCTACAATGAGAGAATACCAGTTTTTCACTTTTGTGTAGGAAAACAAATCTCTTAAAAATAAGGTAATCATTGATTTCATAAGAAACAGGATTTTTTAATCTAATGCCCTATAAAAATCACAACAGTGAAAGTCAAATGGACTTTTACTGCTATTGTTATAATTGATGCATTGCATGTGCGACGATATACGACATGAGAATTTTGCTACTACAAGTTTACTACACTTAAGCTCTAATACAAACGTACCACACTCACTCTTCATTTCTATGCTAGCTCATGCTTGTATTAATCATCAGTTCAGTAGAGATGTTAACCCTACAAATGGATTCCCAACACCACCACACAAATGAAGTTAGTTATCACTTGGTGAAGGAAGTTGGGATTTAAATTTACTTTTGCCATCACTAATATGAAATGAAGTATCTGACTTACATTAGCTGATAGAGGGTTTATCGTATGGTATAATAGTAAAAATGACTTTTCACAATAACTTACATGGAAGTTATATGGTATTTTATTGGTCTATTCGGATGCATTTTCCAAAAATATAATGCATTGTGAACTACAGTTATAACAGTACACCTACGATCTCAAAACGAACTACAGAAAACCTCCCTTCTACTACAGTGGGTAAAGTTTATTAAAAAATAAAATGCCATTCACACATAGCAATTACCATGATGTAAAAATATTGTACTTTGAAATTATGCCCTATATTCTGAACCATTTCTATTCAAATACTTTGTCAGATATGGCCTGCCTCTCCCTCATGATCTCTTTTTTAAGTGGGGCAATAAAATTTTTTTTTTGTTGTTAAAATCCAATACCATTGTATGTGACAGTATTTTTTCATAAACTGTCCCAAAATTCACAAATGCAAACTGGTTACATAAAGTATATTTTATTTTACCCAGAATACAGTGCTTTCAACCCTTCTTCTTTCCATATCCTCACTAGTGCATGCACCATTCCTCTGTAACGAATCTCTTTAAATTTGGCATCATTAGTTTGACCTTGAACCTGGAGACGTGTTTTGGTGAGATCAATTGGGAAAGTACCTTAAAGTCAGGGGAGGAAAAAGTATATTAATTTAACATGAAACATTTGTCTACCCAAAGCAGATACATCATAAACCAAAATGTTAACATAATGCAGAACCTCAGTGTTTTCTAAAGACAAAAGAAAATGTATAATTAGTTGCAGGCTAACAGAGCCAGTCACTTACATTCAAATGGCTTTATAGAGAGCTCTACAGTGGCAGCCAGTGCTTCAAAATCAAGTTATATAGACTCAAAACAGAAACTTCTGCTACAAACCACATAAGAAACTGAAGGCCTGGACCTGCAAATCCCCTTGATCATTTTCACTAACTACAAGTAACAACACAGCTATTGATGTATAATCTCACAGAAAATGAACTTTGGGAGTCTGCTCTTAAACTGCACCTATTTAGAGCCAAATTCTGAAGACCCTTACTCATATAAGCAATCCTTGTTCATATCTGTAGTTGCACTGATGTGTTGAGTTACTTGTAGTTAGTGAAAAATGTGATTCAGCCAATCTAGACTGTGTGCATGCTAAATTATACACATGGTAAGTGAATTGAAATGATTTTATTTTACTGTTAGATGTTTCAAGCTGTACACAAGGGCAAACATTTTGGGAATCAGAAACCATATGAGCACTTATTGTCTGCAAATCTTAAGAAAATGATTCCTTCCAAAAAAAATTGCTCCTGATAATGTGTTACACAAATTCTCTTGAGGCCTGAGGAAGAAATGGCTGCTTCTTCACATCTATCCCCTATAATCTCTATTTGCGTTTTAACCTCTTATGAGATCACCACCATATTTTATCATAATACTCTATTGGACAGCTATAAATAACCATGAAAATTCTCATATAAAAAAGTGCAGATGCAACACTAGTTCACCATTTACTTGACTGCTGTTATTTCTATTTTCTATATCTTTAACATCTGTAAAGTTCTGTTCAAAAATTCGACAGACTAAATTGAAACTACTTGTCACATGAGACCTAAAGCCAATAAGATCAGTACTATTTCCAATACCACACTTCCAGATCTCAATGCCACATACATTCACACAAAAAATCCAGCATTCAAGGCTTCCCCCTTCAATAAAAATTTAAGAAGTGCTCTAGGATATTGTGGAGCAAACAATTCTTTTCTTTAAAAAAACAAGTTAACATGACAAACTTTTATTTGGCAATATGAAAACACTTGAGTATCATTAATTGGGTTGGTGACTATTTTTTTCCTTTCCTTCAACAATACACATTACACAAAAAGCAACAATAGCCCTTCAACATTTAAGTTCTTCTGGAAGCACTTTAAATGTAAGTTAGTAATCTACTGCAGTAGCTATTTTATTTTTCACATTAGATACATTTGAGAGTTGAAACTGAACCTCCTAATGTAGAATAAGTTATGCAAACAGTTAGAAGATTAACTTCTTACCACATTCTGCGGTGATTGAAGCTAAGCCTCCATAAACAAACGGCTTCCAGTTCAGTGCAGACATTCTTCTGGATTCTTCTTTCTACAAGAGGCAGCAATGGCTTTTATTAGGTATTTGAAAGATACAAAATCTTAGTATTTTTAGGGGAACTACATTGCTCAATATTCTGAACTTATTACTAATATTCCTCCCTCAAATGCATTTATTTTTTTACTACAGCAGCAAGGGATCTAGACTATGTGTGTCACAGTACAGTAAACAGACAGCAAAGCACTGTGTTACACATTAGGAAGCTTGGCATGCTTATAACAGAACATTTTAAAACAAACTCAAATGCATTATCAATTAAAACATTAACCTTCAGAAAATTTAGAAGAAGAATGTGATACTTAATTGACTTTCTGGTTGGGAGAAAGACAGTTAACAATGCTGTCACACATCTGGATTTGTAAAAGGCTAAGACAAATACTTATCAGGGATAATTTTAGGCGCACAGAACTCAATACTATTATGATTGACCTTTAAGATCAAAAAAGTGCCTCCCCTCCCATGTTTCTACAATTCTAGCTGAGCTAATATTAATCGGACTATGGCTTCATATCCAGTGTGATTTTTAAGTCAGTCATTACTGAATTTTTTGGGTCTCTTCTTTTGCAATGAAAAAGTTAACACTACAACCAAGAAACAGGTAGCATTGGCTTACTAGCATATGTGCATACAAATATCTAGATATTTGCATTTCAGTGTTACTGAATGTGCTTGTTCTTTTATTATGAAAAATGCTGGGTACAATACATGACCTACCTTCTCTATAGGCAACATTCATTTTATAAATCTGACGGGGGAGGGTGGGAGGCACATAGCCACTAGTGTTGGTACCTTCCATATTTGCCAAAGCAAAAAAAAAAAAAAAAAAGAAAGGAAGAAGCCTTCTTAATCTTGGGCCTTATGTTCAGAAGTGTGGAGAATCCAGAACTCCAAATGAATTTAATGGAAGCAGCAGACTCTCAGCAAGTCTGAAAGCAGACCCTCCTATCACATTATTTTATGCAGGAATTATTTGAGACACCAGTTTTCCAATGGTCTCGGGACAAGAAAAAGCTACTAAACAGAGATTTCAAATATTTTACCCAATGCCCAAATCTACATGGGAATTCATCCTGCTCTCACTATTATCCCTGTAGTTTTTAACAGAGCTGACAGCACATGTTAGTAGTTTTCCAAAGACAAGCGGTACAAAATCAAGCCATCTTTGTTCCCTGCACTTGTCAGCCTACAGCCTGTCCTAGTCCTCTCCCCTGAAAAACTGGGAGGGCACCAGGAGGAGAGGAGATCTCTGCTGCCGAAAGCAAGGCCGAACGGCAGCACCTCTCTCGACGCATGCCGTGAAGCGGGGCACCGAGGCAAGGACACATCCCTCTGAGGCAGTTTTCACTTTCACCCAAGAAAGCTGAGCTGAAGCTTTTATTCGGGGGTGGAGGGAGGGGGGACAACAACAGGAACGTCAGTCAGCCTCCTTGCAAGGCTAACTTGTAAAGACAAACGTGACAAAAGCGCGGGCTGAGGAGGGGAAAGCAGGCCGGCTGGAGGCGCGCTCCGGCCAGTGTCCGGCACCCGCCAGACACGGGACTGTCAGCGAGCCCGCCCGAGAAAACGCCCCCTCGGCGCCGCCGGGACGGTGCTTCAGACCCGGGCTCCAGCACGAGGAGACGCCGGCGCAGCGGCTCCCGCGGGCAGCCGGGAGCGGTGCCCACAGCAGGGCCCCGCCGCGGGGCGACGCGCCAGAGCCCAGCCGGCCACACGCGGGCAGGGCCCCCGGCCGCCCACTCCCCTTCCCCACGCGCGCGCTTACCGGCGGCGCCCGCCCCGCTGGGTCCCAGCAAACCCGCCGGCCCGCCGAGGTCTCGGGATCAAACGGCGCGGCAGCCGCTTTGCTCCGCGGATTTATACCCTCCGCAGCCAGCCCGCGCCCTGCGTAGGCCGCCCCGCGCGCCGCCGCCAACCCCCGAGCCGCCGCGAGCCGCGCCCCGTCCTCCCATTGGTGGAGCGGTGCGGGGCTGCCCGTCAGTGCCGGCTCACGATGGGGCGGGGGAGGGGCGGAGCGCGGCTGAGCTGAGGCGACCTTTGTCCCTGGGGTTATTTACAGGGGCTGCTGGGGTGACTTTAGGTCTCAACCCTCCCCACTCCAGCCCCGTACAGAGCCATGTGCACAGTAGGCTCTTCTGGGGGGAGGGCGGGCACTGCCCCTGTGTCTCCAACCAAATGATGCCCTTCTTCAGGGCAGTTGGGTTTTCTGGCACTGGGAGACCTTGGACAAGTCACTTGTGCCTCGGTTACCGCTCTGCCTCAATTTCCCCATCTGTAGAATGGGGATAATTCTGACCTTTGTAAAACACTTTGAGATTTACTAATGAAAAGCGCTGGGCTCCTGCAGCTGAACCCTCTTTTATATACACACACACACACACACAGCTGGGCTGCACCCACCAGCAAACCCCATGTGAAACCTGATTGATAAAGTGAGGACCGAGGCCCCCCCCTTGTGCTTACACCCAATGACAATGGGTGCTGACTGAACACTTAGGGCACTGGTGTTAGCGCCTGGGCTCGGGACCACTTCGACCCCAGGTACCAATGGGCCCCACAACAGGTAGATGGCCCGGCTACAAGCTAGTCTTCCAAACAGTTTTAAATAAGTCCTGCCCCATCCACTCCAGCCAACACAGCTGCATGCACACAAATGATTCTTGAGAAGCAAGAGGAATGGTAGTGATGACAGAGCCCTACCTTTTCCACTGCTAGAAACCACCTTCATTCAGGCTCCCCTTCATTATTACAGGCAGAGCTGGTACCTCTTTGGTATCAAACAATAACTGTTTGGGCTGAAATTTTCCATGTGGAGGTCTGTCTCAGGATGAATTTTTTGGAAATTTCAGCCAAAACAGTGAAGCCATTTCCAAGAATCAGTAGGGAACATGGGTGGCGGTGAAACCCCCCTTCAGGGAGGCTAGCACCCTGGCCCTGCCCACCCAAAGGAGCCCCAAGAGCCTCTAACGGCCTGAAGAGCCCCCGCTGGCCAACCCCAGGGTGGGGCCTCAGGGCAGAGTGTGGGCTGGGCCACAGCCTGGGTTAGGGGAGGCTTAGCCTTCCCTGGCCTTTTATATCCACCGCCCATGGTAGTGAAAGAACATTTGGCCCAAGTTAAAAAACTCTGGTGACCATTTCTTTGAACAGCTCTAGCACTCCCATGCTCTGGAGCAGGGACTTGAAATTTGGAAGTGGGGTGGCCTTTGTGTCAGCGGTGTGCCTTTTGGCATCCCCATGAAAATCCACCTATATTTGGCCAAGTTATAAGCCTTTAAAAAATCTGAAAAAAGAAAAGGAGTACTTGTGGCACCTTAGAGACTAACCAATTTATTTGAGCATAAGCTTCCATGAGCTACAGCTCACTTCATCGGATGCTCCTTTTCTTTTTGCGAATACAGACTAACATGGCTGTTACTCTGAAACCTAAAAAATCTGAGTAGACACTTAGAGCTAAAAATCAGCTAAATCTCTGAGATTCAGTCCTTACTGAGCATCCTCAAGCCACTCACAGCTCCTAGTACTGACCAAACTGCATATGCCATCCCCTCACAGCTTGTGCATGAGACAGGACTGTGCATGTGCCACCCTCAGAGAGACTGAACATGCTTCTATATGTGAACTGACTGCACATACACCATCCCCACAGAGAGACTGGAGCATGCTCCCTCCTTTCCCCCTGGGTTACACAGGAGCGAAACCAGATTTTCCCTGTAATGGCTGCTCTGGGGTAGGGTGGGGCAAGCAGGAACTGGAACTGGGAGAAGGGAACCGGTCTTTCTTGTGCACTCAGTGACCCTGTTGCTGGGGCCCATTCAATGTGAAGGAGGAAGCTTCCTGATTCAAATGCAGAGGGGACAAAAGCTGGGGGAGGAGGGGAATACTGAAATAAGCCTGCTGCTGAGACTGGGACGGGAGTAGAGAGACAGAAATTCGGACTGGCTGCTCAAGGAGGCTGTGACTGGGAACCTGGAAGGGACTGAGATCAGATGATGAGCTGTGGAGCTTGGGACTACCTGGACAAGGAGACTGGGAGTAGGAACCATGTGGACTGAATGAGGCAACATTCCTATGAAAAAAATAGTATGTGATCATATAGTTAAAGACTGTATCCTAATGCATATGCACAAGGGACTGAAATAAGGTTGCACAGCCAACCTTAATTCTGGCATTTGACTGCTTGACTTTGCAACCTCAATAATGTCCTTGTGGTGTAGTTTTTTGGGTGTAATTATTTATTAAGGGTCAGCAATGTACCTGGCCCTACACAAGAGTGAAAACTAAAACAGACCTGGCTGAGTAAAGAAATATACAATTGAAAACCTTACAGCTTGCGTCAAGAATCCCTGGAGCAGAGGTCAAATGAAAGTCATTCCTATATTACCTTGGACAAAAATTAACCTCCCCTGCCACTATTGCAAGAAGTCTATTTCAAGATGTTGCTAGAATGGCATTTTACCCTGCACATTTAGATGTGTTTTCTGATATGGTTCGTGATGGAAGCAGGTCTGTCAGGTATTTAAACTCTACCCTGTTAAGGTGCAAATCTCTCCCCTCCTTCCACCTCCTGCTCCTCCCCACCACCACCTATAGGGACATAGATTCTTTTCCACATATTAAAGTTGGACGACCATGATTCCTGCACTGTGCGTAAGGACATGTGTTCTGTTTCTTTAAATCTGTCATAGGAAGCCAGGCATGAGTGGGCTGGGAGAGGTTCTACACAGATGCTCTACACACAGTGAAGCTGAGAGACAGAGAGAGAGAAAAGCTTTAGGGATTAAACATTTTTTAAAAAAATTCTAGTAAAGAATCTTTTTTAGTGTTAGAACAAAGCAACTCCTTATATAATTCTTTACTACTGTCACATGACACTGATTCCAAATAAAAATGATTCTTTGCATATGGCCATTGACATTATGGCATGCAACATATTAGCTATATATGGCATTAAGCAACAGTACATATAGTGCCTTCATCCTGAAGGATCCCCGACTTGTTTTACAAATAGGAATTACTTTAGCACAACTCAAAAGCAGACACAACTGGGGAGGAATTCAGAAGTTATTTAAAAATACTGCACAGCAGTTTAGGACAGGAAGTTAAGTAGCCAACTGAATCTGCTGGCGTTATGTCGGGAGGCAGGCTGAAATTACTTGAACTGGAATTTGATAAGGACACAGGTTAACAGCCCACCTCTCATGGAAAGGGCCAAGTGATATTTAATGACTCCAAGTGGTAGGGAGATTGGTTTTACATCTCCAAAGAAAGAGGCTTTTACAGCATTCAGAGGAAATTACATTACATTAAATTGTACCTCATGTGAATCGACAATAATAACATAATCTTCCAGAAGAAGCCCCAAGCAATCAGAACCCTCCAGCTGTAGTCTGTAAACAAATATGTTGCATACAGAGGAACTCTTCCAACTATGGCAGTAGGTCATTCAACCTTTATCCCATTTTAGGCCATGCCTGTACTACAAAATTATGTGGATCTAAGTTACACTGGCTGACAGCTGCCACAGTTACTACATGCCTTATGCACATCCACACTACGGTCCTTGTGTCAGTGATGTGCATCCTCACCAGGAGCACTTGTATTGATGCAGAGAGCAGTGCACCATGGATAGCTGTCCCACTGTGCAACTCGCCCCCATTCTGCAGTGTTTTGGAAATTTTTGCAATGCTCCAGGAGCTAAAAAGAGTTAGTTGCTCAGGGGCGATTCGGAGCATGGGTTCAACGTCCCATAATGCAGTGTTCTGCATCCCATAATTTCATCTGCATCCCATAATAATTTGCACTTCTTTCCAAAATCACCCGTGCAAACCTGCATGTCCCTCCTCGCTGTCCGCCATCTGTGACATGGATCCTGCGCATCTCTGCACTATTGTTATGAGCGTTGTGAGCATGGGGCACCTGATCCTCCAGTATTTGCAGAACCACAAGAGGAGCCACGGGAAACATGAGTCCTTGGAGGCTAGCTTGCTGTGGGACATAGAAAGAAACAATTCAAAGCATAAGCACCAACTCCGTGGATGTTCTGGGGCTGGAGCACCCACAGAAAAAAATAGTGCAGTACCCACCAACCACCTGCCAATCAGCTCTTCCCCCCACCCGCTGCCGATCAGCTGTTAGGCGGCGGGTGGGAGGTGCTGCAGGGAGAGGAAGGAGCGGGGGTGGGAAGAGGCAGACCAAGGGTGGGGCACGCTCAGGGGAGGGGAAAGAGTGGGGGCAAAAAGAGGCGGGGCTGGGGTGGAGCCTCAGGGAGGGCGGAGGAGGGCCGGGAAGAGGTGGAGCAAGGGTGGGGCCTTCTGGGAAGGGGCGGAGTGGGGCAGAGCCAAGTGGGGGTGACACACCCTCAGGGAAAGCTGAAAGTCAGCGCCTGTGATTCAAAGTTGTTGTTGGCATCCATGGACCAGCTACAGAAGGCTAGGACTATAACAGGATTTAAAGAGAACTGGATAAATTCATGGAGGTTAAGTCGATTAATGGCTATTAGCCAGGATGGATAAGGAATGGTGTCCCTAGCCTCTGTTTGTCAGAGGGTGGAGATGGATGGCAGAAGAGAGATCATTAGATCATTACCTGTTAGGTTCACTCCCTCTGGGGCACCTGGCAATGGCCACTGTTGGAAGACAGGATACTGGGCTGGATGGACCTTTGGTCTGACACAGTATGGCCATTCTTATGTTCTTATGCAAACAGTGAAGTGCTGTTTCTGGACCCAAGAAACAAGCACGGACTGGTGGGATCACATTGTCATGCAGATTTGGGATGACTAGTAGTGGCGGCAGAACTTTTGGATGTTCAAGGCCACATTCCTGGATTTGTGTGCAGAGCTCACCCCCAGCTCTCAAGTGCAGCAATAAAAAAATGAGATCCACACTGACAGTTGAGAATCACAGAATCATAGA